ATATGCACTCCTATGACAAAAGTCTGGGGCTTGGCACAGGCTTCAGGGGGAACAGCTCGAGTCTGTATATACAGTGTGGCCACCAAATCAGGATTATATACTTGTAAACCCTAAACCTCCAAAACCCTAAACCCCTAAAATCCTAAAATCCTTGACCAACCCCCCGCAGACACGGGCTGGAGGTTGAATTAGAGTTCAGGGCAAACACCTCGGGTCTGCATGCGGTGGCTTCTAAGAACAATGTACCACCGACCGTGCGAGTGGAGAAATCAGAGCTATTCGACATCACCATCCGAGTCACCAATATCACAGAAGACGACCTCAGTAATGTGCGGGTGCGCTTTGTCCCGTATCAGGTGTGTGACTTGTGTGACTTGTGTGACTTGAATGGCTTGTGCTCGGTGCTAACTAACTGCGTCGGCTGTTAATATGTATATAGTAGAGTACTGAATATATATATAGTAGAGTACTGAATATATATATAGTAGAGTACTGAATATATATACAGTAGAGTACTGAATATATATATAGTAGAGTGCTGAATATATATATAGTAGAGTACTTGGTCCCTGGGCTACTCCTGTGCAACCGTGTGTGCATTGGTGGACGTCATGGTGTATGTCACCTTCTCGCTCTACACACACATACACACACACACTCTCTCTCTCTCTCTCTCTATCTATCTATCTATCTATCTATCTGTCTGTCTGTCTGTCTGTCTATCTATCTAGCTATCTATCTATATATATATCTATCTATCTATCTATCTGTCTGTCTATCTCTATATCTATCTATCTATCCATCTATCTATCTGTCTATCTATATATCTATCTATCTGTCTGTCTATCTATCTATATCTATCTATATATCTAACTATCTATCTATCTGTCTGTCTATCGATCGGATCCGATCTATATATCTGTCTGTCTGTCTATCTATATCTATCTATCTATATATCTATCTATCTATCCATCTGTCTATATATATCTATCTATCTATCTATCTATATATATATATATATCTAACTGTCTATCTATTTATCTATCTGTCTATCTATCTATATATCTGTCTATCTATCTATCTATCTATCTGTCTGTCTATCTATCTATCTGTCTATTTGTCTATCTATCTATCTATCTATCTCTTTGGCAAATCTGAATCCCTGGGGACGTTAAATACAAGCGTTCGTGTGCCACGTGTATGCACGCGATATACAGCACCTGCTAAAGAACTGCGGACTGCCGTGAAAGCACCTGTCTGGTGCTGGGGGGGTCTTCTGAGGGGCTGCCTGCTCTGTAATGGTCACTGATGTATTACTGTACCGATGAGTTACTGTACTGATGTGTTACTGTACTGATGTGTTACTGAACTGATGTGTTACTGTACTGATGTGTTACTGTACTGCTGTGTTACTGTACTGATGTGTTACTGTACTGATGTGTTACTGTACTGATGTGTTACTGTACTAATGTGTTACTGTACTGATGTGTTGCTGTACTGATGTGTTACTGTACTGTGTTACTGTACTGATTTGTTACTGTACTGATACTTTTATTCTCACAGGATGCCATGAACGGGCTCAAACTATATGACGTAGACCCGCAGATGGCACGGTTGGGTCTGTGGGACGTGTTCCTGGGACCAATGAGAAGCGGCCAAACAAAGGAACACAAATTGGCGGCTATGTTCCTATCCAGTGGCATGTAAGTCGAAGGAAACTTGATATTCTGGATTAGATGATCTCTAGCTCTTGGGGTAGAGTGAACAAGATCCGGCATTTATGTTTTTCTCAGTAACATGCACATTCGTACTGGTTAATATCCCTAAACCCTGAATCCTGATCCCTAAAACCCTAAATCCCTAAAACCCCTAAAACATGGGGGGCACGCAAGCGACAGTAATTGATGACGCCAAACCGATTTGTGTACCGAATTCCTATTCAACAAACCTAAAAATACTTGTATTTACACATGTATACCTAATCTTTCCACCCCCGTGTAGGTATAAGCTCGCGTATGAATTAACACCCGTCACTGACGACGAAGCCGGCACGGCTACACAGTCATGGGGTGCCATCACCGCAGCAACCGATGTCGACCGGTCAGCGTGGTCAGCAGACGCCGTCAATATACACGTGCACAGAGTGGCGTGAACGGAATAATAAACGGAATGGGCAGTGCGTGGCACTGTATCTGAATTCTTTTCCTACTTATAGTTCAGAGTAGTATTGCTAATATATATATATATATATGTGTGTGTGTGTGTGTGTGTATGTGTGTGTATGTGTATCTATGCATGAATGCATGCTCATATATATTTAAGTATGTTTTC